GCCGCCTCCTCCCGCTCGGACCCATGAACCAGCCGGGCGGCGCGGCGGCTCCGCAGGTACGACGGGGGGCCGGGGGCATGCACCGCGCGGGGGACCCCGGGGGGCCGCGGCCCGGGGCGCTGCGCCACTTCATTGCAAGATTTGCAAAATGCAAAGTGCCTGGGCACGTTTGTGGGCTTTTTGTGGGTGCAGACTAGAGGGTCGGGGTCCGGGGAGCCCCTCAGGGCGCTGCGGGGTGTGAAGAAGGTGAGGGTAGAGAGGGGTTCTTGTGGGGCCCCCACCCAGTGTCCCCTTCAGCCCCGGGCTCGGACCGAAGCCCAGAAAACAAAGCGGCGAGAGAACAGAGCAGCCATTTCAGTTTGGACAATTCACATTTTGCAAAAATGCAACCTCTTTAAGCTCTTCCCTCCTCCCCTCCAAATTTGCAATTTTCTTCTGACCCTCTATGGACTCAGGGCCCCTGTTGACCATCAGGAGGGCCTTCCCTCCAGACCCCTTATCTTTGTAACAATCCTGGTTTTTTTTTTTTTAGGCCATATTTCCCTTTCTCAATTTTTTTTTTTAATTTTTCTTCAAACGGTAGTTTTTTCCCATTAAAACAACGCCACCTAGAGGATACTATTTTGTAAATAAAAAAATTAAAATTGAAAAGAGAAATATTTTTTATTTCTTATTTTTTCAAAAGTTTGTACTATAAGATAGTGGAAGAAAAAGAAATTCTTTTTATTTTTCTTTTTGGAGTGAAAATTTTCACTTTGAGCTTTCCAAAAGCATGGAGACAATTTTGATTTCTGAAGCCAAATCCACATAATATGTAAATGAAATTAAGCAGGAATTTGAATGAATTCAGGTTTTGGAGAAGAGAAAGCAGAAAGGCTCCTAAAGTAAAATCAGTTTGACTGCTCAATTCATTTTAGTTTGAGAGAAAAGCTAATTAGAATGAGAAAAGGAGGGAAATTGTTGAGTTTAGAGGGAAACTGGGAAAATTGGCTTTATGAAGCAATTAGAAATTGTACTTAATTGTCATTTGGAACTTGTTTAGCCCAGCAAGCAAAAAAGATTTATTTTATCATTTGGGGATATATAAAGTTTTTCCGAAGAAAGGATTTAAAAGGAAATAGACCCTAAAATGTTATCTTTGGACACACCCAAAAATTGTAGGACCCCCCCC